GTTAAAATCCCCCACGACAACCAGGGCCTTTTCTGCAAAGCTGCTTTGCAGCTGGGTGGCCCCAGCACATGTTGGTACATAGAGCTGATCTTCCTCAGGTGCAGGATTTTGCAGTTCCTCTCGTTGAACTTCATGAAGTTCCTGTCAGCCCATTTCTCCTCTCAAGGACCCCTGGGTGGCAGTGTGACACTCTGGTGTATCAACCACTCCTCCCAGTTTCTTGTCATCATCAAACTTGCTAAGGGTTTAAACATGTATTTTCAGCAATTCTTTGGTTCAGTCTGACAGAAGAACAATTTTAGGTTTAGGTGGGGATTTTTTTAGATTCTGAGCCTTACTATTCCGAGCTGAGTAACTACAGAGATCTCAAACTGAAAGATGAGAAATACAGACAACATCCAAGCATCAAAAGATGGTGAGAACTGAAGTTTGAAAACTGTATTGTAAATTACATTGGTAAAATACTGTGTCCAATTCCAGTTTTAAAAGTATGCTGAAAAAGAACTGTACACAAAGAAAAGTATTTGAGCTGAGGGAGGGCTTGAAAAAGCTCTTCATGCACAGTGAGATTTTTAAGAACTCAATCTATTCAACTAAGGAAAAAGATGAAAGTGAGATTTGATTATAGCATGTAAGTCGATTTAAGGGTACAAAACGGTATTTATTAAAGAGGTTTTTAATCAAACTGAGAAAGGATTAACTAGATGTAATACTAAGATGCTAAAGGAAGATAAATTTAAATTGGAGAAAAGCTTGTAACTCAATTGAAAGAATCATCAACCATCCAAGCAAACTACCTATGGCAAATGCAAATCCTCCTCATGGCATTAAATCTTTACTTTTAGCAGATCTAGTAAATAATTACATTATAACTACAATATTATGTAGATAATTGTACAATTGCATATGTATATTTCTTATATATCTATATAAAGCTACATGATAAAACTGAATCATGATTATAAGCATAGTATTATCATTGTTTTCTCAAGTATTATTAGCTACTGGCCTTCAGTGGATTGCATTTTATATCCTATATCACAGAACTAATCTGATGAAATCTGAGGGTTTAAAATCTAGATATTTTATATGTATATAAAGTATATGCATATAGCCTTTTCCTTTTTCTGAGAAAAAAGTATTAGAAATGATATGTAAAAATGAACATATACAGCACATAATTTTCCACTGATTCTACTGGTGTTAATTACTATTCACACTTTAAGCCTGAATAGACCAATACCAGGTTTTGTCTGTTTGACATCTTGAAGAAAACTGTAAAAGCAAAGAAGAAAAACATGTATTTTCTTTTACTGCAATTTTCCTTTTGCTTCAGAATACCCAAAGCTACATAAGTATTTGTTCCTCTCTGTGTGTTCTGTGGTGCTAATAAAACAATGCAAATGAATTTGTTCAGAATTCTGGAAAGATGCCATGTTACTGAAATTTGTAGAAATTTAAATACTTTCAAGACAAGACCAAAAAAAACCCAAAAAACAATTTACCTGCAAGACGACAAGAGCATTTTCTACTGAAAGGTCATCTGAAGGTAAACCTTCACCTTTCCAAATTAACTCCTCACTTTCTGTACACAGGAACCGCCGTAAATTGAATTCTGATAAATGAGAGAGTGTAAGTTTGTGCAAGTATTTATAGTCTGCATAGTTCTTAAGCACTTACCACTCTATATACAGTGGAGATTATCTAACACAGTGCAAGTCTGTAGATTTTGCTTAAATTTTTTGTTTTGTTGCTTGAACTTACTGCTATTAACTAGCTGATGTTGTAAAAGATATTTAATGGTGTTATTAACACACATAGATAAAAATTATTATTGAAAAATCAGGAGCATTCAAAATGCATTGGCAAATTTACAACAGTTAATGTGAATACATTCATTCAGGTAATCTTTTCTTTAAAAGCAAGGACTATGGAGCTAAATCTTAAGAAATTATAAGTATTTATAATCTTAATAATCATTAGAATATTCCTAAGAAATAGTCTGTTTCACAGAATCGCCGAATCACAGAATGGCAGCGGTTGGAAGGGACCTCTGAAGATCATCTAATCCAACCCGCCTGCTAGAGCAGAATCACCGAGAAAAATCACATAGGAACATGTCCAGGCAGGTTCTGAATGTCTCCAGAGTAAGAAAATTTTGTCACTTTTCATTTAGGAACACCAAGACAATTGAGAAGGTTCATTAGAACTTACTGGTATTTCTCACTTCTTCAATCAAGCTTAATTTCTTACACAGACACACAGATCAAGAGACACACACACACACACACACACACACAAACACAATTACTTTCAAGGCCTGCTGATCTGGTCCATTCATCCACGCTGGTTTTCCTCTGATCTTCAGGAGCAGCAGAAAGGTAGGTAATAAATGCAGCTGCTAACTGAGCTCTTTTAGGCAACGTAGTCAGTTCATCTGTTATCTCTGACACCTTCAAAAAAAAAAACAAACACCAGAATGTATAGTTATACTGCAAACAAAGACTATGTTAATATTTCTTATCAGATACTGAAACATTAGAATTAAATTTGTCTGCCATTGAGAATATAGTTGAGACAGTCTTTCTTCTTCTTGCATTAAAGTTATCCATACCTAGCTAACTCACAGCAACACACACACACACAAAAGCATGGGAAAAGTTACTCTTAGCTCTGGGCTAGAGGATAGACATATATTTCTTTTTTAGCTACTAAAAATCTATGAATCTGATGAACAGTTCACTTTGTCACTTATCAGCAACCAGGTAAATAGTACTATAGTAAGGAAAACAGGAAATATGTGACCTGTCACAGTCAGCTAGTGAGTACCACTTAGAATATGTATACAGATACTAAATACTATATAAATCTATTACACTCAACAATGTGATTCACTGCAGACTTACATGATAAAATACATGTATCATATACCTTAAAATAATTCCTCTGCATTACATCATGTCTGCTTTGAAATGTTCCAACATTTTGGAGAAAAATACCGCATATCAAAATAATATATGACTGTCATAACTGGCTTGAAAGTACTGTCACTTTTTTACTTTAATCAAACTGCTATTAAGAAAACAAAAGCTGATACACAAACAAAAAAAGCAACTTTTTATTACTCCCTCCTAATTTTAAAAAGAGATGAATAATGCTTTTTCACCTTCCTCATTATGGGATGAGTTACTGACTAATATATCTGTCAGCTTGGTCTATAGCATACTTCTGTATGCTATGTGTATGTGATTCTTCACAGAATCACAGAATAACAGAATATTAGGAGTTGGAAGGGACCTCAAAAGATCATCCAGTCCAATCCCCCTGCCAGAGCAGGATCACCTAGACCAGGTTGCAGAGGAACGCGTCCAGGCGCGTTTTGAATGTCTCCAGAGAAGGAGACTCCACAACCTCTCTGGGCAGCCTGGTCCAGTGCTCTGTCACCCTCACAGGGAAAAAGTTTTTCCTTACGTTCAGGCTGAACCTTCTATGCTCCAGTTTGCACCCGCCTGGATGCCTTCCTGTGTAACCTCATCTAGGTGTTCCTGCTCTGGCAGGGGGACTGGACTAGATGAACTTTTGAGGTCCCTTCCAATCCCTAACGTTCTGTGATTCTGTGATTTTCCTTTGTCTTATCATTTGTTATCACTGAGAAGAGCCTGGCTCCTTCCTCCTGACACTCGCCCTTTAAATATTTATAAACATTAATGAGATCACCCCTCAGTCTCCTCTTCTCCAAGCTAAAGAGACCCAGCTCCCTCAGCCGCTCCTCATAAAGGAGATGCTCCACTCCCTCAGTCATCTTTGTGGCTCTGTGCTGGACTCTTTCAAGCAATTCCCTGTCCTCCTTGAACTGAGGGGCCCAGAACTGGACACAATATTCCAGATGTGGCCTCACCAGGGCAGAGTAGAGGGGGAGGAGAACCTCTCTCAACCTAGAACCACACCCCTTCTGATCCACCCCAGGATGCCATTGGCCTTCTTGGCCACAAGGGCACATTGCTGGCTCATGGTCATCCTGCTGTCCACCAACACCCCCAGGTCCTTTTCTGCCTGGCAGCTTTCCAGCCACTCAGCCCCAAGTCTGTAGCGCTGCATGGGGGTTTTGCGACTGAAGTGCAGGACCCGGCACTTGGTCTTGTTGAAGCTCATACAGTTGGCCTCACCCCACTGATTCAGGCTATCCAGGTCCCTCTGCAGAGCCTTCCTACCCTCAGGCAGACGAACACTCCCTCCCAACTTAGTGTCATCTGCAAACTTGCTGAGGGAGCACTCAATCTCCTCATCCAGGTCATTGATAAGGATGTTAAACAGGACCATTACTACATTACCATTAATACCACATTACCATTAATACATAGTCTGAACTTTCTAAAGACAGGGTGAATCTACCAGAGTGAAAAAGTGTAAGGAAGCACTTTTAGAAGCATTTAAACTCTGGGGTTTAAACATACACAATTCTTACAAAAGCAGATGAAATAGCTGTAAACCTGCTTTCAGAGGAAAATGTCCCATTTCTTTCTATTATGCTGTTAAACCTATGGGGATGGTTCATGTAACTAACTTCGGTTCTTCAAAATGCAGGCATTTAGTCTAATCGCTTAGGCTTTTTTCAGTGTCAAAGGAGAGAGAGGACCACGTCCCTCAGCAGAAAGATTTTTTTTTTATTTTACGATACCAGAGAAAGCTTGGTAGCACTTTCTGGAGGTGACAGCTATTTTCAGCTTGCATATATCTTGAAATTTTCCTTTCTGTTTCAGATTGAAGAAGGGCCTGTGTGTCCAAAGCTTGCCAGTTTCTCTCAAATATATCATTTGAGCAAATAAGATATGCTCACTCTCCCTACTTTAGAAGCAGAAAAGTTTCAAACACATAAGTGAAGACTTCAAAATCAACCTAACATTTTGGGTAGGTCTGCATTTGCATTTCCAGCATCAATGCCACAAAGGAGATATAAGACTGTTATTGTTTAATGCTTTCTCAAAATCTGTCCCTTTGGATTGTATCTCAGCTTGGAGGGTCCAACTGCTGACATGTTCAGCCATCATAACAATTACATTAATATTGTGACTGAAAAATGTCAAAGAATTCTATGTTCTACATTAAATACTGGGTGCTTTTTTACACATTCTGTAGCTTTGTGATATAGGTAAGGTAACTTGTACAGTGAAGTAAAAGGAAGCTTCAGAAGCAAGAAAAGCTTTTATTTCTAATGAGAAATCAAATAAATGTACATTTAGGACACACGGAATGGCAATAACATTCTCCAAACAGTGCAAGAATTGTATTTTCAGATTATCAGCTGTAAGATATATTTATGAAAATTTTCACTAACCTGGTTGCTCCATCTTTTGTGTTCCCTCTCAAGTTGATTTATCAGTGCTTCTGCAGCTTTCAATGTTTTCTGAGCTTTACTTAGTTCTGCTTCAAGTTTTGCTGCTTCTGTTGTTCTAGTCTGGAACCTGTAAAATAGATACTGTTTGTAATTGCTATGACTGTTATGGACACTTATTTTCAAGGCAGTTTAACTGACTGAATTTGTAATTAATTCCTCTCTTGTTCACATAGAACACCACTACAATTCTTATTTATACTTTCTTCTTCTAATTGGCAAGTGAGCTTGTTAGACTTTTAACTAATAAAATTTAGACAGATGCACAGGTGAGATCTAAAAACACATTTGTAATGCAGACTATAATGTCTGAAAAACATTCATTCTCCTACTTAAACAGCCTGACTTGATTTTAGTGACTGTGTTAAATTTTGTTGTGCACTTAGAAAGGACAATAGCAGGCTCAATGCCACACTATATATTTGTAACACCTTGATAAATTTAATCTATGAAACCTTTAAAGGAGAATACTGCAAATTCGCACAGATGATCACAGTTCAATATACAGAACTCTATTTTGTAAAATACTATGGAGTAAGAACAAGTTCCAAACAACAGGAAAGGTTTAGATATGATTTTGTAATATTTCCTATCTAATTAGCTTAAATAATATTTAATTAAAATAATAAATGCATTTAATAATCCACCTTTTAAAAGTAATATATTTAATGTAATATATAGTATCTAGATCATCTAGGACATCACTATATAGCTGAAAGACAAGAAAAATTCTCCATTTTTTTGCAGGCTATAAAACACGACTTTTAGTAATATGCACATGTCAGGTTGTAAAGAATTTCCGATACTAACTACATAATAGAAACATTGAACTAAAAGACTTGGATTAAACTGAATTTGGATAAAGTATAAAGGTTTACCACAGCAATTTCTATGCCACTGAGAGTCACATACTTGATGGGATGCTAAGAAAAAAAGGAGACAGCAAGCTAAGCTGTCAGAAAAGTAGGCCATCCTACAAGAAACGGAGCTGCCTTTATTCAAGCTGTGCTCAGAAGTCTTGTATAAGAATATTTCCAAAGTCCTAAGGAGACATTAAAGTCCTCTTAAATTTAAAAGGTAAGAGACACAGTGCTCATCTTTGACACCTACATCTACACTGAAGGCTTCCAACACAGTCAGTAGGGAAAAGCAGGTACTTGTAATGAGCATTTCATCCGATCGATGAGATGAACTGTATTCTAACAGTATTTATCTCCACTAAGTGTACAGATAGTCTAATTATCGCTACTCCCAATGTAAATATCTTGCAGAGCAGGGAGATATATTTGGTTAGATAAATTTCATTATTCATATCATGAAATGCATGTTTTTATTTATAACTTCAAATAAACAAACCAAACTTACTTATCTTTCAGTTCTGATACTTTTTGATCAACAGAGTTCAGAAGATCTTCTAACTTCTGTTTTCTGCTTTCAGTTTTCTTGAGATTACTACAAAAATGTAACATTTATTTTAAGACTATGGATCCAAAGGAAAAAAAAGAGTAAATGTAAGAGGAAAGTCATTTAGACTTTTTAGATAGTTCAGAGACAGTTCTTCCTTGTGATTTACATTAAAAAAACCTGTTTTCACATGTAAAAGTTTTGAATACTTCTCATCACATAGCTTTAAAAAATGGAAACTAAACACTCCATTCAAATGAATTAAAGATCAGAACAAATTCTTCCAACACAGAATTTTAAGACCTGGCAAAAAAATTAGTATAGATTCCAAAGGTTATAGACAGTCATAAGACTGTGTCGTATCTTTTTGATCCTAAGGAAAAACTGATAATGCTTGGTACATGACTGAAAAAAGAGGAATTATACATCTTTTTAAATAGCATGGGTTTCACTGACAGAGTACATTTGAAGCATATCTGTGATGTTCATTTCTCCCTGACAAACTACAGCTGAGACAAGTAACTTGTGATTGGCCAAAATATACCCAAGGTATAGCCTCCAGGAAAAACAAAATACTGCCCACTTACTTTTTCTGTCTCAGCATGAACATTTTATTACCTAGGATGAAGTATGGTTTCTTATATCTTTAGTTTATAATAAAATTCAATTCCTTATTGATAGCTTTAGTTTCACCAACCACCACTGGAATTCAGAACATTCTAACTTACGCTTCCAAGCCAGCCTTTTCTTTTTCCAAAGGCTGAATCCGTTCTAGGACATGGGAATACTGGACATTGGCGTTCACCCAAGCTGCTAATGGAGCAGCCGCAGCACTGGCTCGTTTAGCATTCTGAAAAAAACAGTAACACAAGAAAGTCCTTGAAGTGTAACGTAGATGAGTTAAATACAGGACAATTAACTGCAACAGTTTTAAAAGTTATCAACTTAAATATACCAATTACCCAGCTCCTCTACTGAACTAAACTTTTAAATTGTTACTAAGAGATTATTGTAGGACATCAATCTGTACAAAAAATAATGGCTATCTTTACAACTACAAACCTTCACTGAAGTGAAGAAGTTTTAAATTAATGCATAATTTATTACTATGTTCCTTCTCAGGGAACTACAACTTTCCTTTTAAAAATAAGGAACTAGTATTTAAGAATTCCTTGTAACTGCTGTCAAATCTGTTCTCAAAGATCACCCATACATTTAATCATGACTAGTCCCCCTTTTTTAGACTCTTACTGCTACAAGGAGGCCACAAGGAGTCAGTTACAATTCCTTGATCTGGGTTCTAATTTATACCAGTGACAAAAATCTCTGAGGACTCCTCATCCCGCCGCTCCTCAGCCATCAACAAAATTCTCACGGTTGGTTAGAGGCAGTACACAAGAAAGTAATCTCTGCTACACTTTTATCTCTTTATACTGACAATTCTCTAAGCAGAATTCATCACTTTTTCTCTACTTTAAGCTCATTCTAAAAAAATATGTTGGCAAATAAGACAATCATGTCTTTTTGCATTTTTTTTCTTTTTGTCTTTTTATTTTATGTAATGCAATCAGGAATCACCTTTGGATCAAAAGATGTTCTGTTTTTAGAAAGAAGTTCTTCAACACTCTCTCGTATTTCTTGTGGAATATTACGGGCATCAAAGGTTGCGATGTCCTCCCTCACACCTCTTTTGGCCAAGAAACTGTAAAAATAATTAAATAACTAAGTCAAGAAGAAATAAATGTTAAAGAAGTTATTTCCTATGAAACCGAAGAATTCTGCACACACATTATTCCTGAATATAATAGAAAGCATTTCACATTGTATTGGGTTGGCCAAAAAGTAATCAACTTTTTTTTGGGTAAATGAAAGGTTTTTTCATGGGAAACTAAAACTTTATTAAACAATATATTGTCCATTTTGTTCAATTTCCTCCATCTATCTTTCAGGCAACTTTATGATTCTGTGCTCAAAAAAGTCTTTCAGAAAAAAAGTTCCAAGAATGATTTGATATCCTCATCAGCAGTGAAGGTTTTACCATTCAAGGCATCTTTTAAAGAACAAAACAAAAGTACTCTGATGGTGCCAGGTCTGGCAAATAGGGTGGATGTGGTAACACACCTGATCCAAGCTGCAACAACTTTTGACAAGTGACCAGTATGTGGTCTAGTGCTATCATGGAGAAACACAACACCTTTGCAATTCACCAATTCTGGACACTTCTGTTTGATGGTATCATTTCATTTATCCAGTTGACAAAGTACATGTCCAAATTAATGGTTTGGTTCCTTGGAAGCAATGTAAAATACACAATACCTTGGCAATCCTACCAGACTGACAGCATAACCTTCCTTTGGTGAGTATCTGCTTTTGAAGTGCTTTGAGCTGGGTCATCACACTTGCTTCAGAATCTCATTTCTTTGTTGTTTTTGTAGACAATCCATTTTCCATTGCCTGTTATATGTTTCAAAAATGCACTGTTTTCCTCAAGAGAGGAAAGACAGAATCACAGATGGCAACATGCTTAGTGAGATTCATTTCTTTGAGCTCATGTGGTAGCCAAATATCAAGCTTCCTAACATATCCAAGTGGTTTTAAATGGTTTTTAACACTCAATTTCAGAATGTTAAGATTATCAGCAGTCTCTTGTGTCGTTAAATGCCACTGCATTCGATCAATGCCTCTATTTTACTATCAACTTTGACTGACCTTCCTGAGTGTGGTGTATCTTTAACATAAAAATCCCTGGACCAAAATTTCAGCAAACCCATTCTGACACTGCTGTAGTTTTAAGGCATCTTTACCATATATGTCCCATAACTTTTTATGAGTTTGCACAGCAAGATACGAAAATATTTCTTTTGATTTTCCATTTTGAAATCAATGCCAAATAAATAATGGTTAAAAAAATCATGCACTTTTTTTCCTAAAACAAGCTTGAACTGTCAGCTGTCAAGTTACAGAAAGCATTTGCTGTTAAAAATGAAGTTAGTTACATTTCAAAGCATGTATGTCCATCCATTTAAAAAAATGATGGATTACTTTTGGCCAAGCCAATAAATTACTGTTTAAGCTGAAAGCTTAAATGAAATCCTCACCTCTTCATGCTCACCCACGATGTATCAAAAATCCCCATCAGCCGTAAAACTCCTTCTAGTATGTCTCTGATTATGTCAGGGGGCATCCGTAGTGACCGGATTTCTGACAAAGACTCGGGCTTTATATTTCCAACTGCTAATTTAGCTTCATCAACCAGTGGCTTAAAACATAAAGACACGTTAAAAAAAGAGATGAGGATACAAGAAACTGAACATTTGCCATTTCATTTTTCCTTTTTTTTTGTTCTTTTTACATATTTTACTACCTAACCAACTGATATTGATGCATATTCATGTGCACAAGTTACTAAAAAACTGCCATATGTTCATTAAGTAAAAAATACATTTCCATAAAAACCAGCATATTAATCCCAACTTCCCTAACTTTTCATTCAGCACTGCAATTCATAAACATTTTACAGATATTAGTATCAATCATGTTTGTTTTCTCTTTCATCATAATTCAGGTATGTTTTAATAATTATGCTAATTACTATTTATAGGCATGCCTGAGGATATCTTTGTAAAAATATATTCAGGTCACAGAAGCTTTCTATTTTCAATAGCTAAACAAATCCAGACAGCCTTTGCAATTACGAACAAAGCAACAAAATTATAAGGAAACAGAAGAAAGCGAAATATTATCACAAAAGACTCTGCACACCTTGCACAGACTTCATATTTATCAAAGACCACAGGAAGGGATTTACCCTAATCCTGCAATTCTGTGTCACTTTGAATAAAAAAATATAATTCCTTGTCACATATGATATTTAAAAGGAAAAAAAAATTAAGTTGCTGTACTTTTCCCTTATTCTTTAGTACAATATTAAAATGGATGGAATGAAAAACAGAGACTAAAATCAATGAACACACAAACCTCTCCCCAAAAATGATGCTTAACTGCTGTACGGCCTCTTGAACAAGCAGTTTGGTATAGTGCCATTAGAATATGGAATCATAGAATAGTTTATGTTGGAAAGGACCTTAAAGATCATCCAGTCCAAGCACCCTGCCATGGGCAGGGACACCTTCCACCAGACCAGGTTGCTCATAGCCCCACCCAACCTGAACTTGAATGCTTCCAGGGAGGGGGCATCCACAGCTTCCCTGGGCCACCTGTGCCAGTGTCTCACTACTCTCAGAGGAAAAAACTTCTTCCTAATATCTAATCTAAATCTATTCTTTTTCAATTTGAAACCATTATACCTTGTCTTGTCACTACCCACTCTTGTAAAAAGTCCCTCCCCAGCTTTCTTGTAGAACCCCTTCAGGAACTGGAAGGTCACAATAAGGTCTCTGCGGAGCCTTCTCTTCTCCAGGCTGAACAGTCCCAACTCTCTCAGCCTGTCCTCAAAGGGGAGGTGCTCCAGCCCTCTGATCATCTTTCGTGGCCCTCCTCTGGACTCAGTCCAACAGGTCCATTTCCCTCATATGTTGGAGGCCCTAGAGCTGGATGCATTACTCCAGGTGGGGTCACACAAGAGTGGAGTAGAGGGGCAGAATCACCTCCCTCGCTCTACTGGTCACGCTTCTTTTGATGCAGCCCAGGATACAGTTGGCTTTCTGGGCTGCGAGCGCACGTTTCCAGCTCATGTTGAACTTCTCATCAATCCACATCCCCAAGTCCTTCTCCTCAGGGCTGCTCTCAATTAGTTCTCTGCCCAGCCTGTATTTGTGCTTGCGATTGTCCCAACCCATGTGCAAGACTTTGCACTTGGCCTTCCTGAACTGTAATTTTCAGAGTTTAGTAAGAACTGGAAATTTCCATTCAGCTAAAAGTACTAAGCCCTATGATATTACCAGCCTGACCAAGGCAGACTAATGCAAGTGGTCTATGTAAGATATTAGTAATTTTAAAACATTCCATGAAATCTGCAGACCTCAGCTGTAGCCCATAGCAGCATAGAAACAGCAACTGGAAGTGAAGTTTGGCCTGAAAATTCTTCCTATAATTAAGATCTAATAGAACAGAAATGCCAAAATGACAAACTAAATCTGTCAAACAGAATACTTTTTCTAATGCATAAAAGTTTTAATATCAAAATAATTTAGACTAAAACTTAAGAATTGCAGGAATAAATTTTGTAGATTCATTTTGCATGGCAGCACTTAAGTCAAATAAAATCAAATTGCAAAATATTACTTTTCCTTATCAGCTCTTACCTGAACCACTTTTAGTTCATCATCAATTTTTCTTTTTCTTTCTTCTATTTCTGCAGCCTCTTCTGCTATCCGCTGTTTTATTTTTTCCATTTCTGTTTTTTGCTCACTAGCACTCTGTAAAAAAAAAAAAAAACACACAAAAAAAGCATGCCTTTTGTTTTCAAATTTAAACAGATTTTATTCCTGTAGGTCTCTCATCTATTTTAGTGTTAATTACGATATAATTTGCACTGTTCCAATTACAATAAAATATCAGAGACGAATTGATACTAGGCAGGTTAACTAGATAACTAAACTATATGGAATGAGCAACTTTTGCTTTTACTGTGTCTCATTCCCTTTCTTTACCACAAACAAGATCTGTTCCTCTATTTTTAAAGTTCATTATGAGCCTTTTTCTCCTTGCTTCTGATTTTTAATTCCTTATCAGTACCTCTCCAAAACAATAGGAGTGACAGCTTCTGTAACATTCTTACTACACTGTCTTATGTCCTACACATATATAGTAAGCTGTTTGGGTTTACATTTTTTTTTTTCCTGGATTTGTACTATGCCTACCACACAGCAGACAGCAGCTCTTAGACATCTCCAGGACTCCTAAGCATTTCAGTACTACAATAAAAACCTAGTATATAAAATTACAATATAAAGGACCTTGCACATCCTGAAGTCAACAAAAAAAACCAACCAAAACAAAACAGCAAACCAAACAGGGACTACCAATGCCAGTTACAAAACAAATAACTGAGGATAGATGCATAAAAGACTAGTATCCTAGGCTTGGCTCATCTAAGAGATACAAAGCCTACACTTTACATTTTCCCAATATACAACACTTTATTATAATAAGCAATCGTCAAGCCGAGTTGAACATGTAGCAGAAGGTAACAGCTGTATATAAGCAGAGAACACCTTGATATTATTATTAATCTTTCTGAGCACTTAACTCAACTTGCAGACCAGCATGTCATTGAAGATTATATTCAAATTCATAAAACATTAGCTGCATAAAACTAGATTATACATTTCATGCAAATATACACATACTGAATGATAGCTCTGAATAAGAAAACTTTAAATTTAAGTTGTAGGTCAAAAGCCCTGCTCTGAAAGAAGATTAGAAGTCTGTATGTATTAAAGCCTTTTCTCTTACATAAACTAGAACTTTTCAAGTGACATTAAAATATTAAAGGGCACCTATACTTTATACTTATCTAAATAATCAGAATTCTACTACAATTTTTCTGATGTCAGTGGGCCCATGTTGCATTGCTGTTGGCATATTCTTTGATTTTGTCCTATAATGTAATAATATGTGCTACCCACACAACCTATAACCCTAATGGATAACAGCAGACACAGATTTAAAACAGAAACCAGGGAAAATGACATAATAAATTCTTTGAGGTCAGCAGTGAACATACCAAGCCAATAATCATTATTCAAATTCATGTACAGTAGGCAGATAGAGCCTAAAGGTATTAAAAATTTCCAACAGAAGCAGACTTAAAAAAATGAGAAAGTAATGCACCTTTAAAGCATTGTGAACTAGAAAGAACAGGCATCTACTTTACTGCATATAGAGAATGTCTTTCTCATTGAGCTGCTTTATTTTTTTTTTGCTACAGATCAATCAGACTAAGCCAGTGACAAAAAAAACTAGTGCAGTGACAGCAGATTCATTAGGGTTTATCCTACATTTATGATTCCTGGAAGTATCAACGTAGATATATATTTTTTGCACAATTATTTTACTTAATTGAGAAAACACTACTAAAGACAATTAGGTCCTCAAAAAACAGAAGGTCTACCTCTGAGCTGAAGAATAAAAAGGTATTGTTTAACCTTCTTTGAGGTTAACTTCAGACGACTGGACCTCATGAAATACATACTTTCTAACAGTCCACAAATTTAATTCCTAGCATTTGTTACTTAAAATAGTGCTATTTGTCAGTACTTTGTTTAAAGTTTTTATCTGTAATAAGCATTATAAAATGGACCGGTTTGGATTTACGAAGTTCTAAAGAAAATTTCAGACTAAACTACAGCAGTAAATACTGCCCAGGTGCAAAACTTGCACCGATCTCTTCCTACTCAATCAGTTCAAATATGATTCAAATTACATAATCTCCGTCCTGCTGCGAGTCTATTTTTCTTTTTTTTCACTTTTGATGTGATTGCATACCACACCTGCATAGACACTGTAATTTCATGAAGGGCAGCATCAGCCTCATCCTGCTTTGCTTTAAGTAAAATGCTTTGTTCTCCAGCTTTTCTGTTCAGTTCATCCACCAAGTCTTTAGCTTCATTCAGCTTTGAAACACCTGCCTATAAAAGTTTATAAGAAGCAGTTATTTAGCTATGGATTTTAAACAGATTTAAATGAAGGTTTATTACAAATAATATGCACAAACTAAGAGTGATGTACACTAAAATTCTTAACTTTTTAATTTATTCCACATTTTCTTGAGATTTTTTTTTTGCATTATTTAACACAAAAATAAGATTTGACACTTCTAGATGTGTCACTGTATGATCTATAATTACAACAAAATTCTCAAAATTTCAAACTTTCAATGGAACAGCAACTAGTACGTAATCTTTCTCACATTAATTCAATAGCAGTTAACTGATATTAACTCCATGTCTCCTCTAAAAGCAAATCTACAAAAATTAAATAAATTGAAACAAATTTGATTATCCCATTTCTACATATTTGTACATTCTCCAAAGAACATAGATGTACATAAAACAAGGCTTCAATTAGGCTTAAGATCATCTATCTTCTTTATTCACACTTTCTAAATTAATTACCCTATTTTAATCAGATAATAGAATTATTTCAAGATATATTGAAAGAAAATAAAACATTACTTGGAAGATGTTTTGATTTAGGATACAGATCTCTAATTTGCATGTAAATTATTACTTTTATTTAACAAGAGCATTTAACAAGTAAATCAGTGTTTGTCACAAACAAACCATCGCTACTTTCTAAATAAATAAAAAAGCAATTTCTATCATTACAAATGTAAATCTTCCTAAATTGCTTATTACAGTGATGGAAAAATATTGGCAGGCAGAACAAAAGCAGTGTACAATACAAGGTAAGGAAGTAATTTGGTTTTGACAGGTGCTTTAAGAAGAAATTCTGCTTTCCAAGTTTGGTTTCAGAATAGCAGCCACGGTCACTGAGAAAAGCAGCTGAAAGGGAAGGGAGAAGGGTAAAGACAAAAGCTACACGTCCTAAAGGATCATACAGATATTTCCAGAAATACACTGGGGAGAGGGAGGAGAGAAGGAAGTATGTCTGGAAAGATAACAAATGAACTTCAGAAATAAGCATGTTGTGTATACAGAACAGGAGTAAAGTGACTGTGAGATGAACTGCATTTGGTCAAGTACTGTGTAAAGGTTTGATGCATGGAAGAGGAATTTGAAATCAATCCCAAAACATAAAATGGGAAAAAAAATCACAAGAAAGGAGCTACACAAGAGCACCATGAGGTTAAAGATAACAAGAATCACACAAAGCAGGAAGTTGCTGTAGAGATATAAAGAAAAGGGTGGAAGATGGGGAAAATTTATACAAGCAGATGATGTGCTGCAATTCCAATATATACAAGTGAAGAAATTTTAAGTGCTTTCAAATACTTTTTAATCTTTCAGGAAAACTTACCCAGTATGATACCTTCTTGAGGAAAAATACTAATGAAAACAAGAATCACAGGCATTTGAAAAGCGACGTGCATTAAGATTCATACTATTCCTCTTCTGAAACCACAGCATGAGCATATGCGAAGAGGACACCTCGCACAACTATGTTAGCAGCTACAGCCCACTAATACACAAGGGTTTTCCAAATGTGAGAGTATTTTGAAAAGTTGTATGTTAAAAATGTTTCAAATACATACCTGCAAGTGGTTTTGCCTTTTTATTAGCTCTCTTCTTTTACTGTTATTGATGGTACTGTATGTATGAAGAAATGTCATATACCTGCTCGGCGTTGCTCCATACATTTTACAAGATTCATGGATTGCCAGAAATGAATTCAGAAAATCAGAATCACCTGTACAAAATAATTTTTTACACAGATAACAACATGCTCATTCTTATCTCACATTAAAATAACTAAGGAAGAGCAACAGAGTATGTTTTTTGATATATGAATTAAGGACATTCAAAATATTACAAAGAATATACTGTTTTTCAAAGTACTCTCAAGGAAACAACATGTAATTACATTTGAAATACATATTCCTCAGAAAGAAATACACCAAAATTGTTTCAGAGTTGTAAAATATTTCATTGATGTTTGGAAAATAAAGCAAAATTAATTGCAGATTATTAAGGGCTAATCATAAAAGAAACTTTATGTCCACAGAAACTGAATTTGAAAATACTTGGACTTTTTTAGAAAGGAAGACCATGTGTTTTTGTTTTCTCCCTTGTCTCTGATGACAAGTAGACTAAAATGATTATCTGAACATTACGGGTCCTTCAGTTTGTTGAACAGTTTCTCAAAAGAAGCCTGAAGATACTGTAAAATAAATTGTACTAACCTACAAAAGAAAAATATTCCTAAAACATATAAATATATAAATGAATCCCTTTAATAAGTACCTAGGCCCAGATTAAGTGCCATGATCTAGGATAACGATGGATGGTAGCGTGAATGCTAAATCCTAAATTTGGCCATTATTCTGATGGGCTGGAATGCCTACTGAAAAGCAATACAAAAGAAGAAACCCCAGGTGAACCACTTACCATTTTATACTTTCTTGGCTCCATAACTTCTAAGTACTACTTAGATCCATACTTTTTATAAAGTAGCTAAAAGTAGTATTATGCAAATAAGTGCTGGCACTGGTCTCCTAGATTATGTTTGATATCCTATATTTAAAATGGTTATATTCAAAGTTTTATTATTAAAAAAATATTCCGAAAAGGGGAATTACTTACAAGAAATTAGTTATTGGAGACAAAGAATTATTGAAGTAAAGTGAGCAGGTCTAGGAGAAGAATAATGAAAACATATAGAGTAAAAAACTCTCAAAACATCAAATTTTGAGGTTGTGACATAACATCCATATAGAATGGAGACACAGAACAAAACAAGATGCAGCTTAATCAGTTTATAAAATAGAATATACATAGTGATTGCTTGTGACAGAAGCGACTGGGTTTGATCATCCAGGATGTATGTTCCAGAGTAGTGTTCCCTTGTGCAAAATGCCTGCCATGTGAACAACACTAAAGTCTATGAACATGCTGGCAAAAACATATTCAAATTATCTATGCTACTACCCATGCCCACAACAGGATTGAATAAGTATTCAATAATAAGTAATAACAACTAGTTGGTCTACCTAAATATTACCTGTATGTTTTTTGTTAAGTCCCTTATGTGCTTTTCCAGTCTTTTCTTGTTCATCTGAATCATACAGTAGCATTTCAGGTATCTAAAAAAGTTAACAATATCTTATTGTATGAAAGTTTCGAACAATGAAAATTTGAGTTAAAAAAACAAATGTTCAATCTAGTTTCTCATTTGAAAAGACTGAATATGATAGCTTTATTCAGAAAAAGGTATTTACAGAATATTTATAGCATTAAAAAGAACAATTCTGCCCTTCCCTGTCACTGATAACTTCCTATTGACTCAAGCAGAGGAGCTTTTCCTGCCTGTAAGAAGGAGCAACCAATTCTCTGATAAGTCTTAAAACTTCTTAAATGTCAAAGATGTAAAAAGACATACAATTCAACAGGAAACAGTTGCACATATTTCCCACTAATGGTCTTTCATTGTGATCACTCAGAGGGGAACAAGATGATGCCAACGGTGCTGTTTGCGTTTGTGCAGGGGGTTTCTGTTTGTGCTGTTCTATGTGACAGACACGTATATATGTGCTGTATATGTGTGTTTGTGTGTGTGTCCACAGGGAATACAGGCTCAACTTCACCACTATTACAAGCTGGGGCAATGAAGCATCCTGGCCCCTATCAGGGTAGTGGATTTGGCAATCTCTTAACATACAGAAGTAATATATCTCTCTCTCAGACTTACACTGTGAACTTCCTGAAATAAGCAGATTTTGATCCTAAAAAGCACACACTGACTCCACACTACCAAGCAAAACACTTCAGAATAACATAAGGTTTACGGTGCAATCTTAGATCTATAGCAGCTTGTACACACATAATGAACTTATTTTTAAACTAGCTGTTAAGCACAATAGTAACAGCAGATACCATCAGCATAGTTGGCTTTAAGATTTTGCTTGCAGTCTGTATTTTGTTCTTAAATGCTGTGTTTGATCAGAGTCATAGTAGTCAGTATTTTGTTCAAGTCAGACCACCAAGAGAACAAAACATAATGTTACCAGTAAAATAACAATGCTAATATTACTTAACTGTTCTGCAAAATTTTCTGTCTTTGTAGGAATGCAAAAATGGATTAAATAAGCACAGTGACAACTATTCCTTCACAATTTTAAATATTTTGATCTTATTCACCAAAGCTCAGTTATTTTTGGAGATACTAATCTAAACAAGTCACAGTTTTTAATTAATGCAATTTACCCTTTTCATACTGTTTTCTGACCAGGTTTCCATCCACAAAACTTGACATTTCTTGTACAGTGCTGGATTACTTTCACAGTTTATTGCGAAATTTAAATTTGTAGAATCCATGATGATGACAACATGCAGATTTTGTTGAATCCCTAAGAAAATCCAACATATTAAATATTCAGTAAATAACAACCTCACTACATGATGGTAGATTTATTGCAAATACAATATAATGTACTATTCTTCAAATACCTATCACAAGGTAATTTCTGTAAAAAGATAATATTGGACTCCATCATACTAGGATAGGAATGTTTATAAACAGAACTAAAATTAACTTAATATATGTATTATGTCTATTTCAGTGTATTTTTTAATTTAGAAGAGCTGACAGCATTTAAATAGATAGCACTAGTCCTAATTATTATCAATATATACTGATAGAACCAATTAGAAGTTGTTCCAGGGCCCTTGAGTTTGACTGTCAACATCTGTATTCTTTCAGTCACATTCTTCTATTTATTTGTAAACTATTTAATCTTCTTGTTGATCAAAGGAAGAAACACAAACAATTAAGAAATCAGTCTTTAAACTTGCCTATGATTACTTTAAATCTATCTTTAAAGTTGCTTATGATTACTCAGAATCCAAAGTGATTTGTAGGTATAATTGACAAATAGAAGGCAACTCTGTTACTAGATATATAAGCTAAATAAACCTGAAAATTATAGGGACAAAAGCTTCTTGCTTCTAATTACTTTCAACAAGAGATTTCTTAATAGCGTTATAGAACATTCATAGACAAAGAATTTCAGAGAGAATGAATTTTAACCTGAGGGTTCTGTACCCCCAGATACCACACTGTAATCATTATTCCTGTTTGTTTTTTAATACCTACCTGAAAGTTGAAAATGCACACAAAACAAGGACCAAATTAGAAATTATTTGTCCACTGTTATACCACTTTTGCAATTTTGTAATAAATCATAACTTATAATTCTGTTTACATACGGTATGTGAAATAGCTGAAAACTGGTCCAGTGAATCCATCTTGTGAAGCTTGATCCTTAAGAGGAGATAGCAATGCTTCTAATTCTTCTATTTTATATAGCCCAGGAACTTCTCCTATTTCAAGGATGAAATTAAAATGTGAGACCAAATAAACTATAATTTTCCAAATTTCTTTGAAGGATTGCCTTGAATCCTCTGTATATAGAATTTGAATATGGCAGTATTCATCCCCATACTTTCATGAGTATCATCCCATGTACTTCATCATTCTGTCCAATACATAATGAAAACAACAAACCAGATTATAATGATTGCATTTAATTTAAAAAGCCTACTTTGTTTATATTACTGAAATATACTTCAAAAACTCATTCAAATCTACCAAAGATTGCATACAAAATGCTGCGTACAAAACAAATAAAATCAGACTTTATCACATGTCAGAAAAGATAGGTTGTCTAGGTCCTCAGACATAGAGCTTTAACCCTGAAAAATGGGAATCTGATACTGTAAGGAGACTTGGATTTGCACCTGGGAGACAGGAAAATCTGGTGCTCTTATCAATCAGCTCTTAAACTACTGCATTTCCAAAAGAAATTAGTAAGTTAGACTCAGTCCTTCAATGATCTCTCTGAGGAACAAAGCTAGAAAACAGAATAAAGCCACTTTTGTTATTTGTTATTTATAATCTCATTACTTTCAGAAAAGTTAGCTTTGCTGGTATTCATTTAAGTAAAGAACTCAGTCTATACAACCTAGTAAAATATTGGGACACCTTTTAATTTCCAATTTTATTAGAAAAGGGAGGCTGTAGAGTAGGAAACATAATTTTGTTGTTACACTATTACAAAGAACACTTTTGAAACAAGTAACTTAACTTGCAACTTTGAGGAAGTGAAAGCACTCATACTGCAGAGTAAGTTAAAGATTTAAGAACTTCAATTTCTCATGTACAGACACTCTAGCTTAGAACAGTGTAGAAAGCTAACTAACACTTCTGGTCTGGGTATAAAGTTAGAAAACATCATCTAACTCTGCCTCATTGAGCTAAATCTGTGTGGCAAAAGTAGTACCATAATCTTTTTGGACTTCTCACCTGAAGACAGTAAACTGTTGATCATCTCAAGGAATGTGGATTGAACAAACTGATAGTCTTCGAGCAGCAATACCACCTGCTGTGCTTCAATGCCTGCAAGCTCCATCACCTAGAAGCAAGGAAGACATTTAAATCTCAGTGTATGGAATATATCTATTGTTCATAAGCGAACAATAATCTTTCCTTGATTATATTTATATTACATACATATTCTCTCCACAGTATCTACATTATCATATATTTACAAAAGATTATTAGGTGATTCATTTACATGAGAGATCAAATATAAAGAACAATCTATCTAGATGCACAGCTTGAAAATGAAAACAATAATTAAAACAGACTCTTTCATAGAGTATATTTGTGCTCCAGAAGTGATTCAATTATCAAGTTGTATCGCTCTTTTCTGTGAGTTTAGCTCTAGAATTTTCTTTAGCATTGCTGAAGGTACTGGGAAACTCCTGATTCAAGGTTTGCATTTGTATTTAAGCAACATGTACACTTTCATCAATCACTAAAATTTTACTTGATTCAGCTACTATCCTATAAACTCACAGATCACAGCAGAGACAGAAAATAAAAACAGATACAAATCTGAAAATATAGACATGAAATAAACCATTCCAATATTCACATAAATTTAGAATTTGTAAAGTCAACCACACTCATAGAAACAGCTTTGGTATGCAAAAAAAGTAGAATTTCAGGTAATTACTACAAAGAACAGTATACATATCTAGACAGTGAGAACTTCTAAAAAAGTTGATATTTTTTCTTTTCTTAATCTGTCTCTTCACACAATACTTCTGCGTCCTTCCAATTTTTTTTAATTTTTTTTTTTAACACACACTTACAACACTAGATATTAGGAAGAAATTCTTTACTGTGAGGGTGGTGAGACACTGGCACAGGTTGCCCAGGGAAGCTGTGGATGCCCCCTTCCTGGCAGTGTTCAAGGCCAGGTTGGACAGGGCTTTGAGCAGCCTGGGCTGGTGGGAGGTGTCCAGGGGGGTTGGACTGGATGAGCTTTAAGGTCCCTTCCAACCTGAACCATTTTATGATTCTGTGATTCTATGAACACTACAAAATGGAAAACACTTGAGGACTTACATATTTAAGATCACTTTTGAACTGCTTCAGCTCATAGCCTCTGGAAATTTTGGGAGTAATCAGAACAGCTCCATGCATATGACTAACTAAAGAAGTAATGGTTCGACGACCTACACCACTCCGTCCTGCCAAAAGAAGTGATCCTCCAGGAAAACTTAGCACTCTGTCCACTTTAGACACAAAACTGAGGACTTCTTGGAACAGTAAAATCTCTGTCTCTTTTTTGTCTCGCCCATAATGAATAATACCCTAAGAAAAAAAAGAAATGCATTCAGTAATAATTAATAAAAGCAGTAAGATATGAAATCATGCAACATTTACAAGTTTAGAAAAGAAGGGGTGATGGCTTAGGAGACCATGCTGGAATTCATTACAAATTATTTATGTGACACAACTTAAGATATCTTGCATACAATGAACAGATCACATTACTTCCAGCACCAGGATACTCTAGAAGTCTTTGGTATATTGAAACAGAAATCTACCACTGAATTAATTAAAATTAAATAATGGAGCAGAACAAAGTCTGAACTGTGTCTCTGACTAAAGATTAATTAATATTAGCATAACTTAGAAGTGCATAGTAACAGATCCTAAGATTAAATTCTGTCCTTGTTATACTTAATAAAACCTTATCTTTGAAGCCCAATGAAATTGTGTAGTCAGAAGAAAAAAAAAAGAAAACAAACAAAAACCTGACAAAAAACCCCAAAACCACAAAAAATGAAGCTATGATTGCTGAGGCTATTGAACTTCATCATTTCCCGCAGAGACTATTGGTCACAAATTGGCAATTAGGGAGAGGGAGTAGCTTCCTATCTACAAGAGCAGTCCAGCAAACACTACTACTAATGGGAGATGATCTCAAAGCTATCATCCTGAAAATCAGTCAGCCTAGCAGAGCTAACATGTTTGCAGTTCCCATTCCTCATCAAGCTCATTTTTTGTACTTTACTGTTTAAAAGATGCCAAATCTCAAAACATTACATTTTTCTTTCTTAAAACAAAAAAATACATTAGCAAATTAGAAATTAAGAAAGTAAACATTTAATAAAACACTTTGGTGCTCAAATAATACACAGACATAAATGCACATCACTGTTTCCCAAAATATTATTCATCAAACTGTTGTAAATCACTGGCAAATGTGACCGATGCCCTTTTGTTAAAATAACCTTGCTACATAATACTTCCTACTGCCTGCCACATAGCATCACAAACCTTCCCTCACTTGACCAAATACAAAAGATGATTCCTTGAACAAGCAGCGGACCTCACCCTAAACCTGGTGCTAGCATGTTACTTCTTGCAAAAAAGTCTAGAATAATTGCTGTGAATCCTTGCTGTGTATATTTTTTAATCTTGTCTCACTTTTTGAATAATATCCTTCAGGTCTGTTGCATTTAGTTTGCCAAGTGGCCTCCCATGTGGTGGTAGTGCCTGTCCTTGTGCGATAAATGCCTCTTGACAAGCTCCCCAAGTTACATAGAAGATATCTGTGAGAATAAAAGGAAACATTTGAAAGTTTAGGTGCTCAGCTCATACATTGACTTGATCAGACTGATTTGATTAGGCAGTTCCTAAACAAATATTTCTAGTTTGTGTAGTACGCTTCAAATGGTTTACCTGCTACATTGTCCAGAACTTCTGAGCCCCAGTCACCTTGAAACACTTTCATTAAAATATTATCAAATACATGGAGTTCTTTCCTGCCAACAATTTTGTCACGGAACAAACGATGTGCTTCGTAAGCAACAATTTCCAATACATGGTCTGCAGTTTGTATCGATGATCCTACACAATTTAAGGAGAGATTTAACTTTAAATATTTAAAATAAATCTTACATTTCTCAAATTTTCCATTTCAAAATATGAAATTGAAAAGGAGTAAGTGAATTTACGTACCAGCGGGAGAGCACCAGTTAGGAAGAAATAAGAGAAAAAGTAAACATTATGAAATGCTTTTTAATATCTTTGAATATTATTATTTGTAATGGATCATTACAAGATAAAATTAAACAAGTTTTTTAAATTTTTTTAGGTGAACGAGTTGCATGTAGTAAGACTTACATCAATAACAATTTAGGCCTTTTTAGAACTGCTTTATCAATGAAAACCAAAGAAGTGACTTACCATCTGCTAAATCATATCTGAATAAAGCAAGAACCCACTGAGTAAGAATACATGGTGTAAAAAGATAATGACTGTGATCATCAACTGTGAATTTCGCTCGTACCTAAAAACGGAAGTTAAGGGAGGAAGAAAAAAGAGTGATGTTTTAAAACATAAAGCACTTGGAAATGTAGCTTTAATTCTTTCTAAAACACCAGATAAAATTGTTACCTATTGAGTTTGTATATTTAGGTACTTCATTAATGCATTCTTTAGGTTTTTTGGAAGGTGAGAGGTGAATTGTTTTAATGTTGTTTTCTGACCACAAAAGATTTTATCATAATTAGAACATTTTGGCTGTATTCTTTTTTGATGCAAACAAATGCATATGTCACCTAGGACTCTCAGTGTAGTATTATTAGACAAAACACACAATTTTTTAGAAGCAATGTAAAATGCAGAGTAAATATAAAACTGTAATAAAAAACTACCTAATCAGTGGCACTCAGTCACTACAAAAGACTGCTTACAAAAATACTAACTCTTCCCCCAAAGACGATATTTGAATTTACAACTATATCTTTAATTCAAAGAATAACTGTCTTCATCAGTTATATGGTCCTAGTGTGATGACATTTAAACTTATATTTCTTAGTATACATGATAATATCATATGAAACTCCTGCTAAAAGGTGCATGCTAGTCAGTGACTATACTTACATTCCAGTCATAAAGACTGTTTTTATATCGTGGTTCTGTCTAAATGCTTACTGTATGTCCCAAGTGTGTATGCACCTACATCTTCACAGTACCTACTCCAGGGAGGCTATGTACATGATTAAGGAAAACAAGTGCTTAAGTGTTTTGCTAGACAGAAGTCTGTGAAATTTTAAGTGGGAGAATAATATAAACTTGTGTGTCTAAAACACCTATTTATAACAGTGTACAATTTTAATAGGTAGTCTCTGACATGTGTAAAGGACTCCACCCTTACACCTCTCTTCTCTATTCATAACAGAATTCATAACATCTGAGCACATAGCAATCTTTGAAGTAAACTGTCTCTTCACCCATTAAGTAGGAAAACACTACTATCCACGTTTTATAAATCAGGAACTAAAAGCACAGATGGGTTAAGATGCTTACCAAAATCATACAAAAATCTGTAGGAAAGCTAGAGCACTTACTGTTTACTTGGTTTCACTCTAATACCTAGGATTCTCTGCACATAAGTAGCTCTAAGATTGATAATAACGTTACAAAAAAGATATAAACTTGAATTTTAATATTGATAAAACTTTTTATTTTCTTGTTAATATCAAAAGCTAATTATTTAAAAAAATAAATCTGAATTCTCTCTCTCTTTGAAAAAAGAAATTACACTTCCATACCTGTTCATATACTTGAACCATAGATCCTGCTAGCTGATGTATTTTTGGTAAAGAACCCCAAACAGGGTGATTCTTTAGGTTTTTCTGTAGTACAGGTTCCAAGTAGGCACTATAAATAGTTTGCAGTTGGTCTCTTTCTGGATAGCTACAATGTAAATAAAAAGTATTCATTACAGATTATAATTGTTAATTTTTTAATTAAAAGATTCAAAGTTATATACACAATTACTGAGAAATTTCAATTAATAACATCTCCATCTAGCAGCTAAGTAAAATTATCATTTTATAGCAATAGAACACCCTTAGAAATCTTCTGAACACATACATAAATGTGTTCAGTCTTAAAAACAAACTAACAAACTTCTTTTCAATTTCTCTAATTTTGTAACCAAACAGCACCTTAATACAAAGCTGCAGAATGCAGTTACTGAAAGCAAAATCATCCAACAGGAAACATATTTCAAACAGTTTGCTATCAACAGGTAGCTACAAATTGCTCCTTAGCTTGTTACTAGTGCCAAGAGGCACCAAACAGCACCAAATCTGAAAATCCCAAACTGTTAGAAA